ACCTACGTAATAGACGTCGGGCGGGGGGGGGTTAGGGGGGGGGTTATCCTCTATCCTCTAGTAAGTATCCGACACGCCGAGCAATGTCGGCGGATAACTCTCAAAGAGTTGGCATGAGAAGTTGGCAGGCGAAGTAACTCTCGAAAAGTTGGCGTGAGAAGCTGGCAGGTGAAGTAATTCTCGAAAAGTTGGCACGAGAAGATGGCGCGTGAAGTAACTCTCGAAAAGTTGGCGTGAGAAGCTGGCAGGTGAAGTAACTTTCGAAAAGTTAGCATGAGAAGTTGGCAGGCGAAGTAATTCTCGAAAAGTTGGCGCGAGAAGTTGGCAGGCGAAGTAACTCTCGAAAAGTTGGCAGGCGATGTTGGCAGGTGAAGTACCTCTCGAAAAGTTGGCATGAGAAGCTGGCAGGTGAAGTAATTTTCGAAAAGTTGCCACGAGAGGTTGGCAGATAAAGTATTTCTCGAAAAGTTGGCATGAGAAGTTGGCAGGTGAAGTAATTCTCGAAAAGTTGGCAGGTGAAGTTGCCACGAGAGGTTGGCAGGTAAAGTATTTCTCGAAAAGTTGGAATGAGAAGTTGGCAGGTAAAGTAATTCTCGAAAAGTTGGCATGAGAAGCTCGCAGGTGTAGTAACTCTCGAAAAGTTGGCATGATAAGCTCGCAGGTGAAGTAACTCCGCGAAAAGTTGGCACGAGAAGTTGGCAGGTGAAGTAACTCTCGAAAAGGTGGCATGAGAAGCTGGCAGGTGAAGTAATTCTCGAAGTTTCGGCATGAGAAACTGGCAGGTGAAGTAATTAACCCTCAAAAAGCTGGAGCGGCGGAGGCGCTCCGCGTGCTACATTTGCAATTTACAGTTGCGATTTTCCAGCCATTTGTATCTAAAAGTTGCGATTTTCCAGCCGGAGCTGCGGGAGCACGCTCCGCGTACTACGTCTGTACTTAAAAAGTGCGATTTTCCAGCCGGAGCTGCAGCAGCCTCCGCGTACTACGTCTGTACTTAAAAGTTGCGATTTTCCAGCCGGAGCTGCAGGAGCACGCTCCGCGTACTACGTTTGTACTTAAAAGCTGCGATTTTCAAGCCGGAGCTGCCGCGGACCAGGGGGGAATCGAACCCGGGACCGCGGGATTGCGAAAGCAGGCGCGCACACCACGAGACAACTTCCAAAAGCCGTTTCGCGAGCAAGAAAATCGCACGGCGCCACAGCGAGAGCGCTTCGACACGCACGATCTCCGCAGAGGGTTCATCGGGCTCAAGACAGATGCGCACGGCGCCACAGCGAGAGCGATCCGACACGCACGATCCCCGCAGAGGGTTCATCGGGCTCAAGACAAATTCGCACGGCGCCACAGCGAGAGCGCTTCGACACGCAGGATCTCCGCAGAGGGTTCGCCAAGGTCAAGACAAATTCGCACGGCGCCACAGCGAGAGCGCTTCGACACGCACGATCTCCGCAGAGGGTTCGCCAAGGTCACAAGAATTCGTCGCACAAACAGCGGGCGCCACAGCGAGAGCGCTTCGACACGCACGATCTCCGCAGAGGGTTCGCCAAGCGCACAAGACGCTTCGACACGCATTCGCACGGCAAGCCACAGCGAGAGCGCTTCGACACGCACGATCTCCGCAGAGGGTTCGCCAAGGTCAAGACAAATTCGCACGGCGCCACAGCGAGAGCGCTTCGACACGCACGATCTCCGCAGAGGGTTCGCCAAGGTCAAGACAAATTCGCACGGCGCCACAGCGAGAGCGCTTCGACACGCACGATCTCCGCAGAGGGGTGCGTTTCGTAAGCTCCCGTCGGGCCTACCCCCGCCATAAAAAGAAGAAGAATTAAGAGTCGAGATGTGAAGGTAGAACAGAAAAGTTAGCTTGTGTTTTTAGGATAGTGAAGTAACACCCGACAAATTAGCTTGTGCTTTTAGTAGAATGAGATAACAGCCGAAAAGTTGACATGAGAAGTTGGCAGGTGAAGTAACTCTCAAAAAGTTGACATGAGAAGTAGGCAGGTGAAGTAACTCTCGACAAGTTGGCATGAGAAGTTGGCAGGTGAAGTAACTCTCGACAAGTTGGCATGAGAAGTTGGCAGGTGAAGTTGGCAGCCGCTTTTAGAAGAAGAACCCTTCGCAATGCTTCCGGGAAAAACTGGGAAAGACGGGAACCTGCCATCTTGAAGATGCCGTCTTTTGTTCCGCAGCCAATTGCCTTCGACGGCTGTGTGGCACCACTTGACGCTTCGGAGTTGGCGGCGGGTGCGGCTCGTTGTCTTTTTTTCCGTTTTTCTTTTTTCCGCCGCGGGGGTCCGTTTTGGCGGTTTTGGCCGGATCCCCACAAATCCTTGGTGTACGTGTGACCTACGGAACCTTTCCAGCTTACAGGTGCTGAAAAGACATCTTGAACTTCTCGGCTCAGCCGTACCCAGGGCTTCAGCTTGCCTATGTAAACCTGTACCATCTTACGGTACGGATGCCCCGTTCGACATATTGCTCACGTAAGACCCAACCGCAAATTCCCATGGCTTGGAATCTATATTGGGTATCACACTTTTCCCCTTGCGGTATGGCAGGAGCCTCCACCGTAGTTGCGAAAAGTGGATCTGGATGCACAGATGGTTGCATTTCTTGGAAGCGATGCAACACATGTTACGATGAGTTGGCATCCCACGTACAAAAAAACAAAAGTTGCAATATGATGTTTGCAACCATAGAACCCTCTTTAAACAACAAAAAAAAACAACAAGCGAACCAAAAAACAAGTAAAACAGGTAACAACACATAGAACCCTCTTTAAACAGCAAAATCAAGGAAAAAGGGGGGGGGGAACAAAAGAAAAAACAATGTTAACCGTAAAAAAAAAAGAGGAAAAACAAGGAGAACAAAACGGAAACACATGAGTCCCAAGCCATGAAGAAGAAACAGAAACGTTAACCGCAAAAAAGCGGAAAACCATGAGTCCCAGACTAGAAGCCAGAACGCAGGTGCTCTCCGCAGCAAAGCGGTGGCCGGTCTTCGATCTGCTGCATGGCCTGGCATTGCGGAAGCGTCTGGAAGATGACCTGCCGGAGACGGAGATGAAAGAGGACCTGGGTATTGCCCGGGCGAATGGTTTTCCTTTAAACAAAAAAAAAACTCCCGGTTTGTTGCCTTGTAAACCAGGGTGAAAAGGATAGTTGAGAGAGGTTTCCCCAAAAACAGGTGACATATATTCTTCCATTTGGTGAAATGAATGTTTTTTTACCAACCCTTGCTGGTTTTAAAGGGAATCGTTTCCACTACTGGAAATAGTTTTTTCATGGGGGCTGAAGCAAATGGAGGTTTTTAAAAGGGAGACCACAATGGAATTCCAAAGGAAAACCACCATTTTGTGTGGGTCCCCCAAGAAAAGAGACTCCAGAAAAAGGGTTTGGAGGCGCTTTTTGTGGATTTCGACACCTGTTCTTCCCCTGGTCCTTGTTTGGTATGTTTTTTTAGTACTCTTGGACATGTTCGCAAAGGCCACATCGAAACCGTTTTCTAGAGAAAGGGGGGACACGGGTCTGTTTTGTGACTCCTTTCGGGACGTTGTCGAATTTTCTATCGAAACAGGATGGGTGTTTTTGAGGGTACCTGTTTCACCTTGGCTAAAGGGGAAACTAACAGGACAAGCACACACCAGCAAGAGCAAAGACTGTTTAAACAAGCAGGCCCTCACTATTTTGTTGGGCTTGCCCAACAGGACATTGTTTAAACGATTAAGTCTTTGAAACTGAAGCTGGCCCTCTGGCCGAAGCCTGAAAAAAAAGGAGGCGAAACTGACTCGATGGTTTTCAAGTGCACGAAGGGCATTTTGCTCATGGCCACCTTCCATTTCCATTTCCAATCCTTGCTAGAGAACCTTCAGAAAAATTCAGGGAAACCGGATCCGGTTGTTGAAAGATGGTTGAAAAGAGTGGAAAAGGAATCAACCCCTGGAATTCTTGTTGCTAATGCCAGAGAAGTCACCGGTTCCCTTGAAAGGATGTCCAAACCGACAGCTGCCAATTGCCAAGCGAGTGGGCTGGCAGCTTCTGGAAGGTGATCTTACTGGAAATGTCTGCCAGATGCGACCTAGAGTCTCGATTACTCCTAGAAAAAAGGGTCATAACCCCTTAGTTTTGGGTAATGAACCCATTTTGAAAGCGTCATGGAGACTCTAGGTGGTCCTGTTTGGTTGTTTTGTTTGAAAAATAGAGGGCGATTCCTGGTTTACCTGGTGGTTTTTCTGCATCTAACAGGGAAGCCCATCTATTAGGGGGACACTTATGTGCTAGTCGCTTTTCTGGTCCGCACGGATTGGCCTGGGGATGCCATGTTCAGCAGCATCTCCGCCAGGAGCCGGAGGACATCGAAGTGCCACTGGAAGCTGGGAAGCAAAGGCTCCCGCCGGCCGTGGCACTGGAGTTCTACCGCATCTTTCACGTCCTCACCAACTTGATCCTCGATATGAAGGGCCAAGCATTTGAGCTTTCGGTGTTCTCAAAGAGGCCACCAAAAGGGGCAGGGCCTCTATTGTCAAGGCAGGCCTGCCTTGATTCCCTATGTTTGACTTGCTGTCATTTCGTATTGCCTTTTCTCGTGCGAACACAAGCTGTAAAGCGGCCTCGATTTGCTGAGGGTCAACGGGCCACGCCATGAGTCAACGTAGCATCATAGCCCGCTTCGTAGACTTCATGTTGCGGACCATTCACACGCACTGCTTGGTTGCGCCTGTAGGGTTGATTCCGTTTGGGCGCTTTCTGGAGTGGCGGGTCAGGGTATTGATAAGATAAACGAATCTTCCCAGGGCTGCCCGCCTCAACCGTCGCATGCGGCACATGGTCGAGAAGGTGTTCTTCGAAGATCAACGACTTATTGCACATCTCTTGTTCTGTGTCTCCAGTTCGGCATATTTTCCCCAGTTCCATTGCCTAAGCGGTACCATTGACCCTGAAGATGTAACAAGGGATGTAACTCTATGACCCTGAAGATGAAAAGGCATGTGATCCTGAAGATGTAAAGCTGGATGTGCACAAGTCCCGGGAGACAGGACTTGCCAAAGATGTGGGACCGTGCAGATCTACTTAGTCGTGCACATGCCCATTTTGGCCGGAAAGGGCACAACACCCATGCCTTGCTCCTTTGATCCGTTGTGCATCCCCCGCTACGTCCACACGGCGGAAATCCACAGAAGCAACAGCAAGCAAGCAAGCAAGCAAGCAAGCAAGCAAGCAAGCAAGCAAGCAAGCAAGCAAGCAGACAGGCAACCAAGCAGGAAAGCAAGCAAGCGAGCAAACAAACATTCAAGCAAATGAACGAACGAACGAGGCAACCAATGACGAACGAAAAGATCGAAGAAGCGAAGGAAGGAACGAATGCGCAAGTGCACAAACCAACAAACAAATTAAGCAAGCAGGCAAACAAACACACAAACAAACAAGCAAGCAAGCAAACAAATTCCAAGCAAGCAAGCGAGCGAGCAAGACAACAAGCAAACAATGAAACACGTAATTCAATCAAACCACAACAAACACAAGAAAGACGACCATCACAACACACACACACAGGAATCATACCAATCACAAGAAACACAAGAAACACAAGAGACAAGAAGCAAACAGTTTAAACACACCAAGTCAACCAAATCGATTTGCATGCACCAGGTTCGAGCTGCTGGGTGTGCAGTGGTGGGTCAGCCACGGCACCCTAATCGGCGCCTTGCGGGACGGGGGCTTGTCGCGCCACGCGGACGATTGCGAGGTGGACGTGCCGGAAAGGCCGGCCATGGTCCCGCGGTCCCGGGCCTTGACTTTTGGTGCAAATTTTGCCAAGGGATGTTAGGACTTCATAACTTTTTGCAAAAACTAATGGGTTTTCCGTATTAAACCACGAAAAGTTATTCACTTTGAGCAGGGGAGCAGAAAGCAACCGGGCCCTTGAGGTGCTGAGGGACGAAATCCAAATCGTCCACCAGTTGGGATGGATGAAACCCTAAAAATACTGGAATAAACGAGGATAATCTATCTACCAACAGGAGTTTGTCCATCCACAGTATGAGCGCTCAAATCCCCTTGTTGCCTTCCACTTGCTTCAAGCCGTGCGAGGGGAGCTGTTGTCATTAGGCCCTTGCTTGAACATGAATATGCACGTCACCTTTCACAGTTTGCGGCGGAGTGTCGTCAGCTGGGGTCAGCCGCGCTCCCCTCTCAGACAAACTACACATCGAAGGCCTTCTGCTTGTCCCACCCCCTTTCTTCCCCAATACGAGTTTCAGCCTCACTACCCCCAGTCACCATATTTCCGGATTCCATGTTTTTCTGTCATTCTTTTGTTTGGTTGTTTGCCCAATGGTTCATAGCCTTTTTTTATGTGTCCAACTTGTCCGACTTTTCGATTTTCCATTTTGCCAACAACAACTGCAACTGTTTCAGGAGTTTGCTGTCTTCTTCTTTTTTCCAGTTTGTCTAACTTTCCAGGTTCCATCAGTTTCTCCAATTTCTCCAACGGTTCCAGGTTGTGTCCTTCTGATTTTCAGGTTTTCCAACTTGTCCAGGTTCCATTATTGCCCATCCACAGTTTGTTCCATCAATTTGTCCAAGGTGTCCAACTGTTCCAGGTATTTTCTGGCTTATTTTCCAGTTTGTCCCACTTTTCCATGTTTTTCCAGGTTCCGTCATTGTGTCCAACTTGGTTGTGTTTCTGCTTATTTTCCAGTTTGTCCCCACTGGTCGAACTGTTCCAGTTGTGTTTCTTCTGCTTATGTCCAACTTTCCTAAGTTTTTCCATCATTTCCCGCCTTTGACCGACGTTTTCGGCCAGGGACGCGGAGCTGCTGCAGGGCGTCGTCATGCGCTCCGCCCTGGGGCGGAACGGCCTGGAGCTGAGCTTCGACCCTCGGGGCAGGTGCTTCAAGGCAGGGATGGCGGGGGTGCGGGTTGGTTTGGTTTGGTGGGCGTGCTGGTTCCGAAATTTTCGGGGGGGTGGGGGGTGGGGTTTGGTGGGGTTTGTGGGGCGTGTGTTGGTTTTGGGACTCGGACCCCGAAGTGGCGTGTTTGGTTTTTAGGGATCGGACCAAATGACGGTGTTTCCTGGTGGTTTTCTCCTAAAACCAACAAAAGAAGAGGGTTTCCTAAAAAGAGGCACGGCCATTTTGTCCAACCAACGATGTTTTTGTTGGGGTGTTCCGCCGAAAATGTTGGTGTTCCTTTTGGTTTCCTCCTAAAACCAAGAAACATAGCAGTTCATATGGCCGTGGGTCAAAATCCCGTACGCCCAGTGAACATCCCAATCTCCACTAAAGTAGTGGTGCACCTACCCCAAAATGGTACCATTGGTTTTGACCCACAGCCATATGAGTGGTCAAAAGACCGCTACCTACTCGGGGACAGGGATGGCCATCCACCTGGCCAGGATTCTTGTTAAGGGAATTTTTGAGCGTAGGTCAATTTTGGGAGTTTGGACGGTGTGTCTTATTTGGAGGGTACCCTTTTGGAAAGTGCCCTATTTTGAGACATACCCATATAGCGGTTTTTGATTGAAATAAATGAACAGTTCAACCATCTCGTTCCTCAAAAAAACATCCCGACCACTTGTTTAGTAGTTGTTGGGTTTGTGCGTCGTTTTGTTGTGGTGTGTGTGTGTGTGTCTTTTTAAAACAAAACAGATCACTATACACAAGTGAAGACAGAATGCAAGCGCTCAATCGTTTCTCTGTACAATCCCAACATATGCCAACCATGCTTGGGTGGACCCAGCCATCCCCTTTTCTTTGGGTCTTAGTGGGGGTTTGAATCCGGTGTCTTTGTTTGTTTTTTTCTCCTAGGGCTTCTTTTTTTTTACTAGGGCTTGTTCTGGTTGGTTGGTTGGCTGGTTCCCCCCCAACTTAAACCAGCCCCCGGCAACTCCTCAGAGCCAATAGGCAACCCCAGGGCCAAGTGATGCTGGTGATGCTGGGGATGTTGCCATCCCTGCAGAAAACCAGGTCTAGGGAAAAACACACAGCCCTAGAAAAAACATATCACACCGTTTGCGTGGGGGGTTCCATTTAACCCGCAAGTTAGTCAGTCACCTTTTTAGCAGTGGATCTGATCGGGGTCCCTCCATTTCATTTTTTTAGACCTCCAAAAGTGGCGATCGTTTCAGTTTCAATGGACACCACCAGTAAACTGATCAACTTTTGAAGAAATCCAGTGACCCCGCATATGGCTATAGTGAGATCAGTTTTATAACCTCCCCAAGTTCCTGGACTCCTGGACTTTAAACTTTGGGGAAGACCATTTTAGTGGAAAAGAAAGGTTTGGACCTTAGTAAGTGAGACAATGTTAGATCAACAGTCAATGAGTTTTGGGCGCTCGTGTGGAACTTCCGTTAACCAGCGAATCGATTCGCTGCCCCTTTCTGTTTTCCCTTCAATATGTTGGCCCGTGGTCAATACCCAGCTGCAATTGGCAAACAACACGTTCCCTGTTTGCTTTTTCTACATTTGTTGAAGTTCCGATTACCTCTAGAGACCTCCACAAGTGGCGATTTGTTGAAGTCTGGTTTCTCGTTTGATGTCCAGGAGCAAATCCGCCTTAGCACAACAGGCACGGGAGAACCCAGAAGCCACAAGAAGAAGAAGACGACGCAGCAGAAGAAGAAGAAGGAGAAGTAGAACAGAAACAATTGATAGATGATACTAGAAGAAGAGAAACATCATGGGGCCTGCCCAAATAAGCCCTTATTAAGCCCGTAATAAGGCCTTATTTGGGGTTTATTGTCCCCCCCTCCCTCCCTCCCCCCCCCCCCTCCCTCTCCCCCCCCGTTCCCTGCCCCCCCCATTCCCTCCCCCCCCCCCCCCCCCCCAGCCCACATGAAAACCAGAAGTTTGGTGGTACGCCCTTTTTCGGGCTCTGCTCGCAGACTCGCAGGTCTGGCCCGCCGGGTCTGCCAAGGCCAGCGACCAGCACGAGGCGCAGCTGCTGGACCAGCGCCCCGGCGAAGCATTCGCGGGGCGCAGCTCCAAAGGCTTCCCGCTGGGTCCCGTTTTAAGTTTTTTGACTACCTTGGGGTAGACTTAAACCCAGGGGTGGTTGATTCCCGCTTTGGGGGCGTAGGTGTCCTTGTTGGTTGCTTTGCGGGAAAATAGATGGCGATTCCTGGTTTACCTGGTGGTTGAATCATCTAGGGCCATCTACTTCCCCTAAAAGGACACCTATGTTCTGGACTTTAACGTTGGATCCCTGGACTTTCTTTGTGGACCATCAAGTTGCCATCAAGTTGTAGACTAACTTTAACTCATCCCTCATCGAGGCTCGGGATCATAATCAAAACCCGGTATTAAAATGGTCCGAGCCCAGGACCATGCTTCAAGAATCAAGAAGGCGGATATCCGCAGCTGTTTATGGTTGGAAGTATCCCTTACAAAGCTTCATCTACCCGGGTTTTGATTGTGGCTCATGGTTGCCTAGGGTTCTCAACATCAAGACTTTCTTCGTGGCTAACTTGTTTGATCTTTGGGCTTTAACCTTTTCGGAAACAGGTTCTGATATCAAGAGGTTGTAGGGTAAGATATCAAATCCCCAACCACCAATAAGGGGAAACTTTTTTCAACGGTTCTGACATCAAGACTGTGGTGGATGTGATATCAGCCTTTTTCAAGGTATGGCCTTTTGCAGCCTAGTTGGTGACTTTATAGGTAAGATTTAAAAAAAGAAGAAAAACAAAGGGGGTTCAAATCCCCAAACAACCGATCCAAACCACCAAGTAGAGGGAAGCTGATAAGGTTCTGACATCCACATTTTGTCGGATATGAACGTCAACATATTGCGGGATGCGATATTAAGATGTTGTAGGGTATGATATCATCCTTTTTCAAGGTATGATGCCTATGTGAAAAGGGCACAATACTTGGTGTAGCTGGCGAAATAGTTACAAACCCGTATTGTTTCATGGTAATTTGGTGTACTAGTGCCTTTCTTGGGGTATGTCAACCCCTGACTAAGGAGGTATTTGCGAAACACCTTTGGGTTTGCCACCTTGCTCCGAGCAGTTGAAGGAAGACACAGGGGTGAAGACTAGAAGCATAGGTGGCCTCCTTTTGATCGGTCAGGTTGGTTGAACATCAATGGGCTCCACTGGTTGCAGGTTGGTTCCAACCATCTGTGTACCAAAAGTACACCTATGATTGGACTCGTCGTTTCAGGTTTCTTCGTGGGTCACGGTTCCTTTGCAACCCCAAGTGGGTGTTTCAGGACCTCCGTAGAAAAAACAACTGTGGGACCCGTTTCCCGAAAAGAGTACGCTCCACACACAACAACGACACACCCACAAGGAATAGGCGCAGGGGCGTCCACCTGGAACTGACCCAGGTGGATAGTTGACTGGCCAGAATAATCCGCAAGGTGACCGTGAGGTTGCTTTCAAGAGGTGATGCTTCTGAATGTTTTCTTTGGCTTGACTATTTTTGTTATGCGATTGCTGTGGCCGTGAGCATGTCATTATTACCATGTAGATCGAGAGAGAGAGAGAGGGAGAGAAAGAGTTCTGCTCACTCTTGCACTGGACACACCGAATCGTATTATTTCACTGTTGCCAGGTGCCATAATCTTCTTGCTGCTTGTAGCATTCCGTTGACCTTTGCAATTTGATTCAGCTGGTCTTGTCTGACAGGGAAGCTGTTTGTTGCTGCCACCTCAAGAATTAGAAGGGTTTCTTCAACAAGCATTTCAGCCCTCGGTTTCTGTGTCTCCACCAAGGAGCTGGTGGCTTCCGCAGCAACGTGTGGGGACACCAGCCGTGGATATCTATTTGGTGCAGACGCCTCAGGAGGGAAGAGGTGATCGCCACTATATCTCCAACGACGTTTTTCACTGCAACGTGAAAGTTTGCAACCAGGTCTGGCAAAGCTTCTCGCCCAAAGAAACGAATGCATTTTTTGTTTTAGGACTTGGACCCCCCCGCAATGGCCCTCGGTTTTCCTTTTTTCCCCAACAGCTGAAAGCTTTGGGTCTCAGCCCAGATAGGCTCAGGGGTGGTCCGGGGCGGCCTTGAGGTAAGGTTCCACGAGGGTTCCACCAGGGTTGCACCAGGGTTTCACCAGGGTTCCACGAGGTTTCTACGAGGTTCTGCGAGCTGCGGTGGTGCGAGCACCAAAAAGAGCACCGCATGCTGTTGGGGATATCACCTGAGCTTATTGGGTTCACGTTTGAACCAACAAAAAAGGGGACCCGCAAAGCAAAGCACCAACTTGCAGTGTGTGCGTGTGTGTGTGTGTGTTGACAAATTTGTGCATTATTCAGCTGGTGCAGGACTCTTTAGCTTTTGCCAATTGCCAGCCCTTCTCAGCAAGCCAGCCGTTTGGTGGAAATACAGGTGTCTTGAGGTTGTATGCAGGAGCTTTGGCCGGCGCAATAAGGTGCCCAAGCGGCGATCGGGGGGATCTAGATAGATTGCCAGCTTTACTACATTACGTTATTTGTAGTATTATGTATTCATATTGATGTGTATGAGCAACATATCGAGAAAGTAAGCGACCGTGTAAGATGTGTGAACGCCGCATTCCGCATGAAGCATTTTTGAGCATTTGTCCATTTGTGTGTTTTCCACTAACATTTGTTCTGCTTTGTTTCAACTGTTTGGGAATGCCATTCAATTTTGGATATATCATAGCCGTTGCAACGTGTGGCTTCTAGTTTGCGATGCGGTCTTCGGGTTCGTTTGTTTTCGAAGGGCAACGGCAACATTGCGTACGTTGTTCTCCCAGATTCACAAGGAGATCCCTGAAGCTGGCAAAGGTTCGAGCAAAACATGGCCTGGGGAATGGCTACGGCAAGTTAGGGTAGTGGTTCCCCAGAATTCCCTGGCTCGATGGTTGCTTAGACCACTAGTTAAGCGCTCCTCTCACTCCATGCTTCGGAAAAGGGATATTTGTTTTGGAGTGGGGTGGCGTGAGCTATCGAAATCAAGCGAAGGTGTCTTGTGCGGTTTGCGATGGAATTGCATGCCGTTTCAAACCCTCAACGTCTTTGGTTCCCCGGAGGTTTCGTCCATTGCTTTTTTGTTCAATCCCGTGGGTTTGGAAGGGATTTTTTTCACTGGGTGTGTTTTTTTGTGGCTGAAAATGTTCACCGCCGGGGCAATGCGCAGGTTTTGGTCTTGCCACGGTCTGATGTCGTGCATCCACAGTATGTGTGTGTTGTTTCTTTGGGGCCGCTTCCCCCCCGCCCACTCCTCCCCCCCCCCTGCTGCGAGGCTCGGAGCTGGCGGGCTTCTATGAGGTGCCCTTCGGGCTGAGCCGCGCCAAGGTGCCGTGGGGGGCTGTGGCGTATCTGCAGCGCGCCTATGGAGAGGTGGGGGGGGGGGGTTGTGGGTGGAGGGGGGCTGGAAGGGAGGCTGAAGGGACACGTTGCTGAGGGGAATGGGAGGGGGGGAGTGGCAAAAGTTCTGGACAAATGAGAACAAGTTTACATTTGTGAGATTGGAGGGTATTTTTACAAAATGGTTTGGAGTCGGGGCAGAAGTGTGGTGTTGGAACCCCCTGAGAATATCAGCCCAAACCTGCTGCAGGTAGCTGGACTAGTGACTACCCATCTGTGGAATTTGTTGGGTATCCTCATAGGGGTTAAGACGCTTGAAATGGAGGCCAAAACGAGAAGACCCATATGGAGGAGGGAGAGGTGGAAGTTGTGGTTGCCAAGGTCCAGCACACCTGGCACAGAGGCATTCCCTTAGGCCGCCTTAGGCTCTTAGGTTTGTAGGGTTTAGTGCTAGTGTCCACTTCATCCACTAAAAGTTGAATTTTTTTAGCTGGGGATCTGAAAACGGACTGCCCAGTTTAGGATCTCCGTCTTATGACATGTCTGGGCTCAAGTCGATTGGAGCAAGAGGACCTGCTTCAACAAGCTCCCTCGACGCCAAGGTCAATGAATTCTTTGGCTGCATCCCACATTCCTGATATCACCCGCCTTAGAACAACAATCTCACTCAATTCCTCACACTTCCCTTTCTTGTTGAGTGCAGGTCAGGACTTGTTGCAACAAAACAAGGGGCACTCTGGCCCCAACTTTTCCTCTGAACATTTTCGGGTGCACCGCACCTTCCTTCGAGCCTTTGATTCCTTCCTGGCCTACTCGGTTTTTTGCCCCGAACATCGTTTAGTGCACCGCGTCGAACACTTGGAGTCGTCCGAAATTCCTTTGGTGCAAAGCGCCTGCATCAGGCTTCCCTCCATTTTTGGGCAACCTACGTGGCAGTAAACCCATGGAAAAAAAGCCCACCTGTCCTTCCTTGGCAAGTCTTTGTTACCCAGTGGTGCCCTCGTTTCCTTTTTCTGGGTAAGGGTTCCCCTTCAAACTCAACAAACCGACAAGAAACTCGGGCGCCCTCTTTTTTTCTCCCCCGGAAAAATCCACCTTTGGCGTCTCTCCCGAAAAAGCTCGGCTTCCGCTGCGGATCCCGCGTTTGAGACTCGCAGGACTGGAACACCACGGTGCGGCCCCACCGCTGGGCGGCCCAGCACGGGGAGGGCTTCCGCGCGGCGCCGGTGGCCTCCCTGGCCAGGCGCGCCGCGGAGCCCTTCGGCCCGCTGCCGGAGGTGCTGACGCCGCTGACGCCGCTCCGCGGGGAGAAAAGAGACACGGGGGGGGGGGGGGGGAAAAAACGGGGGGGAAAACACGGTGCGGAAAATGCGGCATGGTTTTTCGGTGGAAGACTAGGAACAAAAACATAAGACCTCTACCTGAGTGATTGCACGAAACAGATGCGGGTTACTATGGGTTACTGCGGTTCTGGTCGTACATGTCGCCTCGCTTTGGCTGTGGCGCTCACAATCTCGTGATCAAGGCTCCAAATCGTAAGCGTAGTGCGTGTGAAGTCGAACATGAAGTTCTTCCACCACTGTGTTGTGCCGGTGCGGACGCAAAGTGGCACGGTCATATGAGATGGGAAGGACAAGTCAATGAAACAGGAGGGGTTACGCTGGTTTTGGTCCATGTGTCCACTTACCAGGGCAGCCCATTTTGGTACCGATTTTTTGAGCCACAGCCACACATGAGATGGTCACGATGATCATGCTACCTTTACGCATTTGATGTGTCTTTGCTTGTTATCCACATGCGCAGGATGACCATTGATATGCTCCAGTACAGCTTCGAGCATGGCGAGGCCTGCGCAGCGCGAGCGTTTGGCGGACATGCAGCTTCCAGCTTCTGCCACTCAGGCTTGCAAAAGGTGAGCAGAATCATACCCCCCTCGCAACAAAAAGAGAAAGCAAACAACAGCTACCCTGCCACCAGCTAACATGGAAGTGCACAGACCCCCGTAGAAAGACTACTTTCCTCTTAAGGAAACGGCTTTTTTGCACTTCCATGTTAGTTGGTGGGAGGGTACTGGATGGAGAAATCATTGTCCCCTTCAGGTGGGTTTTATCGAGATCCGTCAAGGCGTTCCCCTTAATTAAGCTGGACGCACGTCGCCCTGCTTCGATAGGGTGGGATCGCAAGGGGTTTCTTCCCACTGTGATACAAGTTGGAATGGCCCTTTATATTAACAGGGCTCCTGAAAAGATCTCCATTTTGCAACCATTTGAAGCATGGCTCTTTTTCCACCGCAATAAAAAGGGAAACCACCATTTACAAGTTGCAATGTTCAGGTGTATAATGCATCCGGATCCCTGTATTAACAAAATAGTCTCTGGGAGGCCCCTTCTGTTGTATCACAGTGCTCATTCCCCACCGCCCACTTCGACGAGCCCGTCAGCCGCGGCCAGGAGCCTTTGAGCCACAGATCCGGAACGGATCGAGGACCGAAACCGTACGCAGAAAGGGCCGGGTAGAGGACTTAATGGGTTGAGTCATAGGCACAGGCCGCTGGGTCCCGTTTTAAGTTTTTTGACTACCGTGGGGTAGACTTAAACCCAGGGGTGGTTGATTCCCGTTTTGGGGGCGCAGGTGTCCTTTTTTATTTTTTGCTAGAAAAGTAGATGGGTTTCGATTCCTGGTTTACCTTGCCGGCACAGAAAGGGAGGCAGTCACAGTCAGAGCTCACTTCTGGGGCGCACACTTCCGGCACTCTGAGAAGTTGAGAAGCCATCCAAGGGGCCAGGGAGAACTGTTCGCAAGCCTTCACAGTTGTTGGCGAGTTCTTAGGTTCCATTTTTTGTGGGCGGCTGCTGCAAACAACGGTTTTGTTGCTACCACACCAAGGGTGGCAGGATGTGTTGTGCTCTTTGCAGCAGGGGGCGGGTGGTCCCTTTCTGGGAGCCGTTTCCTGGCTGCGACTTGCAGGACCAAGCCACCAGTACAGCGACGAGGCCTCCTGCGGATGGGGCGAGGGAGGGACTGCGGTACCCTTCCGGGGCATCCCACGGTTGTTGGGAGACTTTTCACATGTTTGTTTATGGTGGCTTAGTGGTTGAAATCCAAATCCCCATTGAGCAGCTAAAATTCAAACTGTTGCTCCCCTTCCAAGGTCTACCAAGATCCAATGAGCTTTTTTCTTTGGAGCGGCAGAATTGGAGGCCTCTGTCAAAGCCACAGGTTGCCACGACCTAGAGCTCTCGGCCGGGCTGAGTGTTGTTTCTTTGGCATCTTTTACCTTCTGACCTGACCTTTTGGTTTCCCCAGTTTGGTCCATAGTCATGGCCCCAAACCTTTGATTTCCGGGTCCTGGGCTCGCTCGGGTCGGCCCGAGCTGCCAGTGGCAGGCAGGGTGGAACACCCGCCCCATGCCCGGCGTGGTGCAGGCGCGGGCTGGGAAGTGGGCGGACAAATCAGATCGTCGATGCGGAGGTGAAACAAGCGAAAACCCATGAAGACCCATTACTGGGTGAGGGGAGGGGGGAGGGGGGGAAGGGGGGCGGGGGGTTCCCTTGTGTCCAGTTTGGGAATCGGGGGGGGGGGGCAACCAGGATGAAAATGGTGATGAAGACGGGCTCCTGAACCAAGTCACGCTAAAAGGCTTAAATCATGTTGCGTCCTTTACGTTTTCCGGAATGCGTGACCCATTCCGAGGATGCTTCTCAGCATCACTGCGCAACCCGATTCAAAGTTTTCAGCAAGCCGGCCTGACGTTTGCCGACGTGCCGAGTCCGGCTATTTTCTCATTGAGTTCAGTGTTTGTGCAGAATGATGGAGATGTTGCAGTCATCCGCTTTGCTAATTGTGCCATCAGTCAAAGGCTAAACATATTTGTTGATATTTAAGAGCAATACCACAAGGTCGCCAGTGTGTAAACCGAGCTCACCCCTGATGAAGATCCTTTACTGGGGGTTCCCTTGCTTCCAGCTAGTTTGTGTTTATTTTGCCAACATGTCAATATTTAAGCTTTGCTGGTTACCGACAATCAAGATCCGGAGTGAGGCCATAAACCAGCAGCGCATACTCGGGGCCGGAGTTAGTTCAGGGGTTCAGGGGTTGCCAGCGAGCAGAGTTCGTCGCAGGACTGCTCAGCACGGCTGCAGAAGCGGTGCTTGGAAGGTTTGGGCCATGAGACCTTGCAGACGGCCAGGCGAGGGGGACGACCTCAGGCCTTTCTTGTGTTGTTTTTTTCTTTTTCTGGGTGGGCTTTTATGTGTTTCTCCTTGTCTTGGTGTTTCTCCTTTAGCCATCCGGTTCCTTAGCTTTTTCGCCTTTTTAAAATTTTAGCGTTGTGGTAGTTTCCATTTAACCCACTAAAAGTGCTTTTTTAGCGAGGGATCTGAAATCGGGCAGTTTTGTGGTCGGGTTTCGTTTGATCCTCCTGGCAGGGTGAATTCTAGATTCTGGGGTCGGTGGGTTTCTCTCTCACAAGCCATTCGAAGCTTGGGACGTTTCTTTTTTTCTCACCCGGCAACTAGTCCATGTTTGCCGCCCTGCTTTCGGGCGCCGCGGTTGAAGCAGTTCGACCTGGCGCGATGTTTCTGTTGGAGGTCAGGGGAAGGAGATGAGCATGCGGCAATCACCCCGCGCAAGTTCCTATGCGCGAGAGTATATACTGAATATCAATATAGGTTGGCTCGTGCCAGATACATAGCTTATCCGTCAGCCAGATATTTTTTACGCATATCATGTACTATATGTATATATGTATTGATCTACCCAGCTTAGCTTGGCACGTGCACTCAAAGAGTGTGGAGCTATCGCTTCTGTTGAACCCGGCAGCACCGTTCCGGCCGGTGCCTTGGCTCCAGCCAGATGGCAGATGGCAACATCAGGACGAGATTCGCCAACTCAGAGTTGCCCTCCCACCAATTAAAATGAAACCCGACAGGGGGGTCCCTGAAGAACCCACCAACAGGCTTGCCATAAGCTGAACACCGGATAGCACATTGCCTTGCACTCAAGAGCACACACCTTTCTGGGCATGTTATCAATACGAAACAGGAGTCTCCAACATGTTCAATCAATCGTGTGCTTTGAATATGGGCTACGATTTTCAACTGGGCACCACTGCCATGAATCCATACCTAATGTCAGCCAAAGGGCCCCTCTTTGTAACCATTCTCAGCCCATTCTCCGCCAGACTCCTGGAGGCACATCTGCAGAGCCTCTGTGCCATAGGCCATGCCAGTCACCCGCTTGGCCGAGATGGCGATGCAGGCGGGCCGATCGAAACTCTGGGCGTTGATCCCTTTTTGATCCTTGTTGCCACACAACGACACACAGAAACACGCAAACACCAATATGAAGAGATGACTCTCTAGATTTCAGGGAAACAGACAAGCGTCTGAGTTATCAGCCCACGAGCACACATGACGCGTCAGCTATGCCAACACACAGGGATCCGTAGTTGTCCTTTTTCATAGACCCAAAGGTAAGTTGGGCTCAAGCAGACAGGAAACCACGCGGGCTTTCACGGGAGGAGAACCGGAAGCAAAGCATTATACTACACCATACTACACCCCATGTAGCATATATACTCTTCAACCAAATCAATGGTTTTCTCATGGGTGAACAAATATTTAACAAGCAACATTCAAAGCATACTACATTATGTATATATATATATATATGCTACCCCCCCCCCCCCAGGGACCTACCTTTTGGTTGCCTCTCCAGTGCATGATTTGCACATCTAGGACTGGAAGGAACGATCTCTCAACTAGGACCACGACCAAATGAGACTAGAACCCAGGATCTCTCAACTGGGACTAGGACCAAACTAGGACGACCCACCTCAGATTCTTACAAAAAAATAACGACCCACCTCAGATTCTTCCAAAAAAATAAGTTTCAAGTATAACTTCCTCTGTCATGTCCTGTATACTTTCTAATTATTGCAGTAAACTAGGGAGCAACCTAGCACTAGAACCAAGGATCTCGCATCTAGGACCAAACTAGGACTAGACCATTCAGCTCTACTTCTTATAGTATTGGATGTCAAGCATTACATTCTGGTGGAAAGAAAGTCATGTTTAATATTTGGCTTGAAACTGAATAACCATAAATTATGACTAGATATGTTCTTTACTTTATTCTACTGTTCAGTTAGCAGATGCATAGACATTGAGTAATATATTAACTACAATTCATAAGGAACTTCCTTTGCATTGTCCTTTGTACGTTCTATTTATTTCAGTAAGCTAGGACCATACTAGGCCTAGAACCAAGGATCTCCCAACTAGGACTAGGACCAAAATAGGACTAGACCATCTAGGAATTTAACTCTAGTTCTGAAAGTGATTGAGTTTCAAGTACAATGTTCTATTGGACAGGAAATCGGTTGTACCATGTAGTTTGACATAGAACAATCAGTACTTAAGTTCGAATCTAAATCGAAATTATGGCTGGAGTATGTCCTTCTTAAGCTTCATTGAATTTCAATCAGAAATTGGGTCGAATGTGATAAAACATATTAAGTGGAATTCATAAGGAAAGAATCCAAAGGTCCAAAACTTGTCTTTTCACTAGTCCTAACACTACCATGGTCAGAAAACACCGTAAAACACAGTGTTGTGTTGTGTTTTTCATACTCAATTCACATCTGCACCAACGAACACTCGCTAAATGCTCGTTTGAATTTGAACACGATTTAATTGGGACTCAATAATGAAATATTTGGTCAGAATCCTAATGGTAATCAAATCTGAAATTTCGAGTTTAAATAGAGTTCCTTTCCCAATATGTACTTACAATTCAATTAGAGCTTTCACAGGATTTGATAAGGAAAGAACCCAAGCCTGTATTCAACATTCAAGAATCACTATTCTCTAGACACGTCTTCTTTGCAAACGCGAGTCCAGGCCCGAGTGAAACCCATTGAAACCAACTGAAATTTCAGTTGAGCCTAGGTTCAAGATTCCCTAGAAAACGTTGGCCTACAATCTTGAATGTGGGCCAAGATTGAAAAAGATTGAATGACAAATCAGGACTTGGATGCTTGCACAACACTGTGCCAAAGTACAGCCGCGCAAAGTGCAATGTTGAATTTGGGTCTCGATTTAAACCGATTTAAACCGATTAAAGTTTAAATCAGGCATGGATTCAAGGTTCAAGATTCAAGAATCCAGGCCAAACTTTTTTAAGGGAATCTTGAATCCAGGCCTCGATTTAAACCGATTTAAACCGATTCAACTTAAATCGGGCATGGATTCAAGATTCAACATTCAAGAATCCAGGCCAACATTTTTTCCGGGAGTCTTGAATCTTGAATCTTGAATCCATGCCCGATTTAAGTTAAATCGGTTTAAATCGGTTTAAATCGACGCCTGGATTCAAGAATCCCTGGAAAAGTTTGGCCTGGATTCTTGAATCTTGAATCTTGAATCCATGCCCGATTTACGTTAAATCGGTTTAAATCGGTTTAAATCAAGCCTGAAGCTTCCAGAACGTCCTTGGAAATGCTTCTTTTTCATTGCTCTCCCCAAAGCCCAAAAAGGGTAGAACACACTGCAAATACCAGTGAATTCATCAAAAAGGTAGGTCCCTGGGGGGGGGGGGGTACCATATATATATATATATGCATATACTTACCTAATCTCACCCTCCACATTTTGTCTTCACCCATCTGCAGGCTCGGCTGCAAGGGCTGAGGCGCTTTGCGGCGTGCGCCCGGCAGAAAAATTGGAGAATCTGGGGTGGGCGTCTTGAGTGAAGCGAGGGCAAGCATGCCTAGGTCCCCCAGCTAGGTGCCCTTCTTTCCTCTTTTTTTGGGGAGGGTTCCCCACAGAAAAAAGTTGGTACCCTTATTCTAACCTCTCGACTGGAGGACCTAGATGCAGTCACATTCCTTGCTACTGATTCGGATTTGCCCCATCTTGCCTTTGGACTGCTTTTGGTTTTTTGGCTCGGATTCCGGTGAGTTCTTCTGTTTTGAATGAAGTCTGCATGGGAGAGACCTCATGGGGCCAGTTTCAAAGTGAAGAGAAGTGCTGCATGGCGCTTAAGCGGCCGTCTCTGCATTTGACGCTCCCGATCTTGTGCGCAGCTGCAAGTTTAGGTTGCACCTCAAAACGCAGCTGCAAGCTTAGGTTGCACCTCAAAACAGTGGCCAAACCACATGGATAACGCTGCAAGTTTTGGTTGCTCACCTCGAAACAGAGACCAAACCACATGGAAAACGCTACAAGTTTAGGTTGCTCACCTCGAAACAGAGACCAAACCACGTAGAAAGCGCTACAAGTTTAGGTTGCTCACCTCGAAACAGAGACCAAACCACATGGAACACGCTGTAAGTTTAGGTTGCTCACCTCGAAACAGAGACCAAACCACATGGAAAATGCTGCAAGTTTAGGTCGAAACAGAGACCAAACCACATGGAAACCACTACAAGTTTTGGTTGCTCACCTCGAAACAGAGACCAAAACACCTGGAACACGCTGTAAGTTTAGGTTGCTCACCTCGAAACAGGGAATCAATTACATGGAAAACGCTGCAAGTTTAGGTCGAAACAGAAACCAAACCACATGAAAAACACTACAAGTTTAGGCTGCTCAGCCCAAAATAGAGACCAAACCACATGGAAATCGCTACAAGCTTAGGTGGCTCAGCGCGAAACAGAGACCAAACCACGTGGAAAACGCCGCAAGTTTAGATTACTCAGCTCGAAACAGAGAGCAAACCACATGGAAAACGCCGCAAGTTTATGTGGCTCACCTCGAAACAGGGAATAAATTACATGGAAAACGCTGTAAGTTTAGGTTGCTCAGCTCGAAACAGAGACCAAACCAAATCGAACATTTTGTTCTTCCCCAGAATTAGTTCCCCTTTGTATTTTTTCCTTTTTTTGGGGTTCCCTTTGTTTTCCACTCACCAGGCAAAAACAAAAACGCATTTTTTGGCTGGGGTCCTAGTTCCAGCCGAGTGACGTTTGCTTTGCGCCAAAAGCTCCTGCCAGGCCGGCGAGGCCCGCGAAGGCGGCCAAGGCAGCGCCTAGGCGCATGGGGAGTACACCAACAAGTGGTGCGCTGCTGGTGAGGTGGCCCTTGTGTTGACACAGGACATGTCTAAACCCGTCCCATGTTTTTGTTGGGGGGTGTTCCCTCCAAAAGTGGTCTGAATCGCCAGTAAAAGGGGACACCCCCCAATCAAAATCACTGAAAGGTTTAGAAATCCGGGGTTAACATTAAGGCGCATGAACCTTTTAAGCATGGGAGCCCAGGATGAAACGACAAAAGGCCCTTTGAAGAGGGTTCCCCCACTAAAATAGACAAACATGAAAAAAGTTGGTACCCCTTTTTTTGCACCTAGGGGACTAGTTCCATTCAACCCACAGCTGCGTCACTTCTAGCCGCAAAAAACCACAAACGGAAGCTGAGAGAGGCAATCCGCCCTGCAGGTGGCCCTTCCTCCGCCTTCGCGCGCTGTCCGCGGAGCTGCAGACGTTTTTGGCCGGCGAAGGCGGCGAGTTGTGGGTCACCGGCAGCCCAGGCGGCGCGAAGGGCGCGGGCTGGGGAGGACACATGGGGCTGAGAGGGCGAGGTGAGATTAAGGGAGAGACGTCCGGGTCATGTTTGCTTTTTCTTTGGCCGCGACCAGTTGGGAAATCAGCCAAATGGATCCTCTTTTCTTCTTCTTTTTTTGGCAGAGAAAAGCCTTCCTCCCACGAACGTGGCGTACCTGTGGAGGACCTGGATCAAATTCCTCTTGCAGGGACCGGGTCCCTGCCAGGTGCATGTGAGGGAGTGAACAGGATGGCCCAACCTGGCGGCATTCCGATCGCAGGTAGTGGCGCCTCCACTGCCATCCTCTCGGTGCTGCCGAATCACCCGGCAGTGGTTCTGGATGCGGAGAAGGGCGAGCAGCAAATGCAGGAACGGCGCAGAATCTCGGGGGGCAAGTGGGTTACACAGCAGCTCCTTCTGTTTGGTGTATTGCCCGTGTACTATTGATCAAATGACGCCGCTCTTGGCTGGTGTGAATGGTTTTAGGCATGGGATGTTACAAGGGCTATGTTGCTTCAACTTCTATTTGTGGGCAGCTTGCAATTTTTAAACCTTTGCAAAGCAACAGAAATGCACTTGCTGGTGGCCCAGTTGTGAGGGTGGCGTAAAATGTCCATCCATTGACGTGACACCTGAGGCGCTTGTCCTTGGTTCCCAGTTTCATGCTCACAGGTGGCAGTGTTGAGCCCAGGTGAAATCGGACGTTTTTTCGGCAAGGGCCACCGCAGCAAGTGCAACTAGGTCCCCTAGGTAGTGCCCTTTGACCCTCTTTTTGGGGAGGGTTCCCCTACTAAAATAGACTACCGAGAAAAAAGGTACCCTTATTCTAACCTCTCTACTGGAGGACGTAGGTAGAAGCAACAGCTACAGCCAGAAACAGCAAAGGAGCTAGAAGTCAGCACCAGTGCCCAAAAACCTTTGTGGGGGTTGAGAAAAATATCCCTGGCCCCCAAATGACCATGGGAAGCTTTCCCTGTACTGAACATGTCTGGTTCTTAGTGGTTTCCCGAAAGGTCCTCCGATGCCTTAAAGACCTTTGACTTTCATTTGCTAAATCATATTATACATATTTGCTTTTCCCCCGATTTTTTTTTTAGCGGGAATCGATTGCTACTGTTTTTCTTTTTCCCAGGGGGCGAAAACGCAAATGGAGGTTGATCCCCCGCATTTGGGGGTTGCTGTGCGATCGCACGATCTTGGCGGAGGACACCTTCCGACGCCAGCTGGCAGAACAGCTCGGAGACAGGGAGGAGCTCTCGCTGGGCTTTGCTTTCGATTTCCTAAAAACAAATCCGCGAGAACTCACTTCCTCAGCTTCATGAACTTCAGCCACTTTTTGGGTTTGGACCATTTGAGTAGTAAATGTAAAGTTTCGGAGAAGTTGAGGCAGAAGAAGCACCCCGTGGTTGCCTTTGGCTCCTGAAGCCCCGGCTACCACTCTTTTTTCTCGGCACAGCCTGAACTATTTGATAGTCTAGGGTGGACGAAACTCACTTGCCCATATTGAATCGTGAAATGACCCTTTGGTTTCCCCCTTTATGGTTCATTTCTAGTAAAGGTTCCAAAAGGCTTTTTTTTCTCAGACCCTTTGGGTTTTTTTCAATTCTTCTCTTTTTTCTTTCCACGGACCCTTTGGGCACCTGACTTAATATCGAAGCCGAATCGGGCCAAGTGAGGAGCTGGCTGAGGAGTGCATCGCGGCAGTCTTGGAAGAGCATCCCCAGGCCTGGCGAGAGATCGCATACGCTATGTATCCTACTGTGGAAGGACGAAATCCGTTCGCACCACTTGGAAACCATGGTTGAAACCATTGTTCATCGGTATTTACAGGGGATTCATCATTCCAGGGTTTCTTAGTTGGTGCAGGATTTCGTCCATCCACAGTATGGCTCGCCTCGAAATGGTGGACCAAGGGAGGTTTGGTTTCTTCCTTTTTTGTTCTTCCTTCCTTAGGGTTCCCTTGAAAGAATCCAACCTGTCATGGATTTGGTGTGTTTTTGTTTTCTTTAGGGTTCCCTTTGAAAACAACCTAAGAGTTGGGACCATGAAAACACACACCCATATAGCTTCATTGCTCGATTTTTTTTTTCTTTAGGGTTCCCTTGAAAGAAACCAAGCCAAGAATTGGGACCATGAGAAACACCCATGTAGTTTACTTTGCACCAAGAAGTACTTGTGGCTGGTTAGTTGGGGCTTCTGTGAACCGGTCTGCTGTGGGCAAGGCAACAACACCCCTCCAAAAGTGCTTGGAACGTTTGACTTGGTGTGTACACACTGCCTGCAACGAGGTAGATGTCATACATGTCGTGCCTCTCACTCGGGGACGCTTCGACACCCCAAGCAACTCATTGGGATTTGCGCAATTGAGCCACAATCAAAACCCTGGTAGATTAAGGTTAGTAAGCGGCAGTCCCGGCCAGCAATAGTTGCGGCCGCCTTCTTAATTCTTGAAGCATGGTTCTGGGATTACGACCATTTTAATGCCGGGTTTTGAGCAAGTGACTCAATTGTCGTTTGAGAAGCCTAGCAAACACGTTGCTGGAGCCTGCCATTCTTGCAGTACGGTCAAACACATGGAGCTTCGGGTTTGGACATGATGAGTGCCACAACTTGCCCACGGTTTATGCAGTCAGGTTTTCACCGGCAGAAAGGCGACGAATTTGAATTCATCTCAGTTCTGTGTGGATTCCTTTTGGCAAACCAACAAGGAACAATATAGGCGTGCTTGTTTTTGAGTTGGCACCCCTTTCAACTTTTGGAGTTGTTTTGAAGTGACACCAAAATGAGGGTATACTCCTAGTTTGACACACTCCCCCCATTTGTGGTAAGTGGATTGTAGCAGTGGCTTCAGGGCGCTGGTACTTCAGTGGTGAGCAATGGGCACGGGAAGTCCCCACAGAGACCATGGACAACCACGCCAGCCCGACGCAATCCATCGATTTCGCATTCTGGCAAGCTTTGGCTCAATCCGAGGGAGAATTGGCAAAGACAGTTTTTGTTTTTTTAATGGATGCCCTGAGCCCTCTTTTTTGGCAGCCCCATTGTTTCGTCACTGTCAAAGTCACCCTCTAAGTGGTATATAGGTTAAAGGGAAACCACCAACCAGCTTCTGAGTTTGATCACCCCCAGAAACAGAAACCAATGCACGACTCCAGTTTTGGGTACCTGGACCCTCACAATTCCCGTAAACATGGGTTATTGCCCCACAGTTCTGAGTGATTTCCCTTTTTTTTCTTCTGGGTAGCTTGAGGGTCCGGTTCCTGTTTTTGACCCACTAGGTCCCCCAGTAGTGCCCTTTTACCAACTTTTTTGGGGGAGGGTTCCCCGACCAAAATAGACTACAGAAAAAGTTGGTACCCTTATTCTAACCTCTCTACTGGAGGACCTAGCCCACATCCAAGCAGTTGTCAGTTTCTCATCTTCCATTTGGTTAAGACTGTTTATTTTTTATTATTATTTCCCTTAAGGGAATTTATCACTACTGGACATGTTTTGTGTTTCTCCCAGGGGACAACAACGCAAATGGAATGCTTGCATAAAGTTTGTTATCTGGGTTTTTGAGGGAATCGATTTCACTCCTGGGTGTGGCTCAAAATTGAAAAAAAACGGAGGGGCCTTTGCCGCAGGAGTTGGTCCATTTTGCGGATTTTTCCAGGTGTTTCCCATTCCCCAGTTGCTGAAATGATGTTTTTTCCTTTTCCCCCTGGTTTCAAAGGGAATGTATCACTACTGGAAATATCTTCACGATTTTTTTCCAGTCTTAAACAAATGGAAGTTTCCCGTCAGCCCCTGAATTCGCCACAGCCAATTTCACTGGAAACGTTCATAGCTCCTCCCCGCCTCGCTGGACGCGTCCCGGACGCGTGGGACCCGGCCAGCCGGCCAGGCGGGGGAGGCTCTGGTGGCCACCGTGGAGAGGGCGGCGCGGCTGGGGCTGCCAGCAGCTCTGCCTGCGGGGACGGAGGTTTCCTGAACAAGGGACGCCGATGTTTTCGTGGTTATTTATTTTAAAACATTTGTTGTGTTTCCTTCTTTCCCGTTTTTTGTTTGTTTGTTTTTTACATGTTTCGTGTTTCCCTCTCTTTTTTTGACAATAGACATAAAGAGAAAGGCTTAGCCCAGTTGCCCAGTGGGTTGCTTCCTTTTTGCAACTTTTCTTTGGGGAAGGGTTCCGATCCCTTTAAAGTCAACGAACCCAAAAAAAGATGCCCCTTTTTCCCAAGGCCACTGGGTGTCTGAGTTAACAAGAAAAAGGGAGACTTTGCTTTTGAAATGACTCAATTCAATAAAATGAGTCAACCGCCTTCTGTTTTTCATTTTGTTTGCTCTCAAATGATTAGTCTCCTGGTTTCTCGCTGAAAAGGGGCCCGAAGCATCGGGTTTCTGTGTTGACATCCTCAGAGGTCTGAAAACGAAGGCCAACATATTCAAAACATGCATGAACTGTTACAAAGGAACCCTTTGGTGGACATCATAATTCGGTGAGGATTCATGTCCACCAATCACTTGTGGCTGGTTGGTTCTTTTTTTCGTTCATGTCCAACTGGGTTTCAGTGTTGGAGAGATTGTCATTCTGACGGAACGCCTTTATCGGCCTGGTCCACGTTCGATCTGTTGCGCTCAGCAAGACGCCAAGAGGAAGCCAAGCGTCACAGCCGTGTCCTTGCTTTCATGCAGGACGGCATCATCAATCCAGCCAACCACGTGCTTGGGATTTTGGATCCACTATGGGTGGTTTTTGCTGTTCTCCAGCTAGAACCAACCACAAAAGGGGTCCCTTCCCCCCTCCCCCCCCCCAAAAAAAAAAAGAAGAGCAAACAGATGAGTGGGTTTCCCGTTGGTCTTCTTTTAAGCCAACCAAATAGGGCCCCCTCCCTCCTCCAAAAAAAACACAGCCTACTTGATAGCTGCGGATGCCGTTTAAACGCCAGGTGCCAGCTTGCCGAGAACTGGCGCAGAAGCACCGAACCCAGCCGCAGAGGCGGGGGGGGGGGGGCGGGGGGCGCGGGCGGGGGGCGCAAGTGGCGAAGGCAGTTGCGCGTAGGAACCTTAGTTGGGTATTTCCATGAGCCCATGGTTTTGGATGGGTTCAAAGGGAAAGGCAGGGATTTTGGTTTTGTTGGCAGGGTTGCTTGGTAGATGAATATTATACATATATTTTCACATGCACGTGCAGCTTGGGGGGACATCGTTCCTGAAGGAGCAAACGAGCAAATACTGAAAACACTCGAGGAGCAGGCTGTGGTCTAGCAGACGTATCAACCTCACTCATGGCGTGCGTTCACTTGCTGGCACGGAGGTGATGTCGACGGCGGAGTATTCCTTGTGGCGGGACGAGCTGCGTGGTCACGAATGTTTCTTCGACGCGTTGCGACGCCAGCTGGCCAAGAGATTCCCTTGCTTAGTATTGGCAACTGGTTTTGCTGTTTTTGGTGGGTGTTCATTGAAGACCAACCAGCAACAAAATGGTGTCGTGACTTGGTTCCCATGACCGCTTGGCAAGCCAGGATTGTCTTTGCCGAATTTCAGGCGGCTCACGTTGGCGAGCAGCCTGGGCAAGCTGGGGCCAAAGAGTCCGTGGGAGAATGCTGAGCGCCTGACTGCCGTGGTACGGCAATATGTTGCAGACTGCCCTACTCGTACTCGTCCCTTGCTTCAAGCGGAGGAAGTTGGAGATGCACGACGTGTGATAGAGCTGCTGGAGAAGCCTCATGACCCCAATGTTCAGGTCAACTGGGCGACACCGTTGCTCAGGGCTTCTGCAGGGGGCCATTTTATAGTTGTGGCTGGAAGTGGGTGCTGACAAAGAGATTGCGGACAATCATGGCAGACCCGCGCTGCATATTGCTGCGGAACGCGGCTATGGTGCAGTAGTGCAGCCCTTGCTAGATGCCGGCGCCGACAAAGAGCGGACTGATGCTCGGGGCTACACACCGCTCTATTATGCTGCTTTTGGGGGCCATAAGTTTGTTGCGCAGTTCTTACTCAATGCCGGTGTTAGCACTGACAAGGAGATTGGAGCGAATTGCAGAACAGCACTGCATATTGCTGCCGAAGGTGGCCACCGTGCAGTTGTGCAGTGCTGTTGGATGCTGGTGCTGACAGAGAAGACAACCAGCGAGGGGCATGCTGCGGCCGATCGAGGCCAGACAGTTGTGCAGAAGGCACACAATCATGGCGCCACACCATTGCATCTTGCTGCGCAGCAGGGCCATCAGGCAGTGGTGCAGTGCTTACTGGATGCCGGGGCTGACAAAGACAAGGCAGACAACGAGGGCACACCGTTGCATTTGGCTGCAGAGCACGGCCATAGGTTTGTTGTGCAGTGCTTACTTAATGCCGGTGTTAGCATTGGCAAGGAGACCGGAGCGAATTATTGCAGAACAGCACTGCATCTTGCTACCGAATGAGGCCATCAGGCAGTTGCGCAGTGCTTGCTGGATGCTGGTGCTGACAAAGAGAAGACTGACAATCGTGCAGAACCCCGCTACATCTTGCTGCGCACCAGCGACATCAGGTGGTTGTGCGGTGCTTGCTGGATGCGTGCGCTGACACGACAAAGAGAAGCCAGACACTCGTGGCAGAACACCGTTCTTTTTTGCTGCAAATGGCTACGATTGAGTTGCGCTAGCTTGCAAAATCAAAGCAGACAGCAGCTGCTGTGTAGGGTAATTATTGGTTGTCTCTAAAATTTAGTGGGCCTCTAAATGACTGATTCCTCGTTGCTTTCTGTTGAAAGAGAACCCAAAGGGGCCTCTGAAAAACCAGCACTTGCATACAAGCAGAACTCAAACACTGCGGTTTGTTTTCCGGGGTGTTCAAAGTAAGCCTGCAGATTGGTAATGAGCATTTGGGAGCGGCAGGGGATGACAGAAGGGGCAGAGCGTGCAAATAAATGATGTTCCACGACAACATTGCGAGCTGTGCTTTTGTTGATGTTCACTGTTTGGGGTTGTTAGGGCAGGGAAGCCAACAAGTTTGCAGGTGCCCCAGTTTTAGAAATCAATATGCAAGCAAAGATGCATCCTATCAACTATGTTTATACAATACATGTAAACACACACACGTTTGGGTGTCGAGAACGAGCATGTTGCAGTTCCCTCAGGATCAACTCATCCAAGAAGCCTCCCAGGCAAGATATCTACTAGGCCCCCCAGTAGTGCCCTTTTACCAACTTTTTGGCAGGAGGGTTCCCCTACTAAAATAGACTACAGAAGAAAGTTGGTACCCTTATTCTATCCTCTCTACTGGAGGACCTGGTCTATGTGGCGAGTTGGGTTAATATCGGGCAGAGCTTTTTCATATGTCGCTCCTGCTACATTGGATGAGCCGGGAACACATTGGAGCCTCCAGGTAGTTCTTTTTTACTATTCACGAGAAAACTCAGGTTCGATTGGATGACTGGATTGAGCTTTTTTCTGACAGCCATGGTTTCAACCCAAGCATATTGCAGGCAACACACGTTCAGCAGAGACAAACCTGCAGCCTGCGAAAGGCCGACGCACCCAGACCAACTCAAATTTCTGGATTGTTCTGGAGGCAAATCAGAGCGAGAGGCTGTTTAGGTGACGTTGTTCGGCCAGCTGTTGGGTCCACGGGATGAACGAAAGCCAGCATGTTCCAAGTTTGTCTCAAAAACCGTTCTGTTTTTTTGTGTGTGCGTGTGTCTCATGTGCAAGTGGTGTTGGAAAGACAAAGAAGTTGAGAGGCTTTGCAGCAGCGCCTGCGGGGTACTGCTGCAGCAGCAGCGGTTGCAACTGCAGCCGGCCAGCCGCCTGCACGTCGCGCCCAGAACTTAGCACGGGGCAGCCGCGGCCGGCGGACGGTCTCCGAGGAATTCATCAGTCGCTTGGGCGTTCTTTTGATCGGTTAGTTTGGTTAAAATCCACTGGTTTAGATGGGTTCGATGCCCCATTTACCAGGGAAACCCAGCTATTCTTCCAAAAGGACACCTATGCATCCATGCCTGGGTGAATGGCGACTGGGAACATCTCTCTTGCAGATTCACTCACAGAGAGCATGTCCTTGCATGGGAGTTGGTGACCACCGATGTCAGGTTCATCCAAAGGCTGATAGCGGGTTAGAGGGGCAAGGGTTGGCGACGGTTTGGAGTGCTATGATTGTAGGGGAGCTTTCTACATCCAATTGGTCACTGTGCTGGGTTTGCGTCGGATCACTTGAGATTGTATAGAAATCCCGTTGATTTGAGTTTAGTCTTTGGTTGTTGAACAAACACGACAACACAACGATGGCAACAACGAGAACAGATTGTACACTATAGCACACCTTTCCTCACATCCCGGAGAGACTCCAGGTATAGACGCACAGTAAAGGCGATGAGCGAATCCCGTTGTACTATGATTGGTGTGTTTTCGATGAGCGATTGCTATTTCTAGTTCTAGGGCTCCTGTGGGGTTGCTTTGTTCCTTCGGAGCGCACCACATCCACCTGCCAAGCGACGGCTGAACAGTTGCAGTTTGCGGGCTGGAGCTGTCACAACGTACTTCGTGCATGAAACTGGCTCAAAAGTTGCGATCCAGCTGGAACTGCCAAACTGTGCTTGGTGTACTGCAATTGTACTAGCATGTCGCGATTTCGTTGCAAAACGGCAAGAAGTTGAAAACGATGGGGCCCCAAGCAAGGAACTTTAAAATCAACAAGGTTTGTATTGACCAATTGAGACTTCCTCAGGGTGCATCCTCCCGTCCAGAAGCTTCCTGCTTGAGGCATCTCGGATCGTCTTTGGCGCTCAAGGGAGATGTTTCTAACAACTGTTGATTCAACGTCGAAGGTTTTGTTTTTGCTTAAATAGTAATAGTGATACTCATAGTTATAATAATAAAATACCTTTCCCGGTTTTGGGTTTTCGGGGTGTTGGGGTGCGACATGACGAAGTGCCCACGCGGGGAGTCCCCCCCGCGCGCTGCGCCGGATGCTGAGGTTGGCGCTGCTCAGCGAGGCTGGTCGTCGCGAGGGAGGCGTGGGGCCGGGGGCACGGGGGCCCGGGGGGGGGAGGGGTGTTCGTAGCCTCGACTCTTAGAGGGTCCAACTTGGTACCTTCAAAGGAGGTACTGAACGACCCCGTTTTACCCCCCAAAAGCCATCCTCAGGAGGTGCTTGGACCCTCTGGGGGTAGCATAGGGTGTCATTTTGCTGGGTTAGATGGATGGGTTCCACTGGTTTAGGTGGGTTGGCCATCCATTTGCCAGGTGGAATCTTATCAATTTGTCCAAAAGGTCACCTATGCTCAATGCTGCATGTTAAATCTTCTTTGATTCTGCCCAGGTGTTGATCCTCAGAGTCCCCAACTGGGAATCAATTCGTCATTGAGAAAGAGCTGGTTGTCGGCGGTTCAGGGAAACGTTGAAATTCGTGAGAATCATTTCAGGGGAACCAACTATACAGGCGCACCAGGGATACGGGAGGATTCCCCCTAAATGCACCTTGTTTGGTGTGGGAAATGGCGCCAAGGGAATCCCCCCATATCCTCGCTCCCTCAGTATCCCCGCTTGTTCGTTTGTCCAATCGTTGTGCCTCAACATGTGTGGATCACCAATTCTTTGGTTTCCGCTTGTTTCGGGCTTTAAAACCTGCCAAGAAAGGATCCGCATATTTTGACGTGTGAGTAGTAATCAGCTGCCACACGGAACCTCAGCGTTCACTTTACCCAAATTCACCGCAGGTCCTATACCCGGTATGCCCCCACAATGATTGGTTTCCTCGGGTTCCCTTTGAAGCAACCCCAAAAAGGGAGCCAGACATGGTTTTCCTTGGGTTTCGTTTGGGAAATCCTTTGGGTTGTCCCTCCAAAAAGGCGCCACGAAAGAACCGCACCCATGGTTGTTGTTGGGACACATTTTACAATTTTTGCCCATTGTCGTTTAGTGGTTGCATTTGTTTAATACAACATAAAATAAAGATAACAACAAACATATATTCCGCTGTTTATTTTTGTTTGTTTCCCTTGCGTTCACCCAGGCCAAAGGTTTTGGTCGCGATCAACGCTCGAGTCGAGGCGTGGCGGGCGCTTTGGACTTCCTCCTCGCCGCGGCGAAGAGGTCGAGGCTGACGCTGGTGCTGCTGCGGGCACAGCTGGCGCCGCGCGGGGGGGCCCAAAAAGACGGGATCGTGACGTGGGATTTGGGGGATTTGGGGCTTTTGGGGGAAGGATTGGGTGGGGGTTGGGGTTGGTTGGACAGGTTTGGGGTGTTTTTTCTCAGGGTGTTTGATTGGGTTTGGGTGGAAGGTGTGGTTGAGGTGAGCGGTTGGAGCCCGCGATAGCCACCCTTCTGGCCGCGCAACTTTCTTTGGACCCTTCAGTGAGGCATCCCTGAAGCATACCGGAGGGGCGAAAGAGAAGCCAGGCAAAGCTAGGAATCCGGCAAACAAAAAGGTGCCCCAGTCATTTTCGCTTTTGGGTGGTCCTTCCTTGGTTCCCAGTCCTGCAAACGGAGGTCCAGATAGACCGGTTGCAGCGGAGGCTTTTTGCAGCGGGCCACCGAAACACGCGCCGGAGGCAGGAGTTCGCGGCGAGCGCTTGATCTGGGAACCTGCTGGATGCTGAAGGCTTAATCGTCTGAAGTATAACGACCTCACACGACCGAATTCACCCCGCATGGTGGGCTTTATGTGGGGAATAGTCCCCCAATCACATATTCATTTCAGGTTGAAATATGATATAATTCACTCAGAGTAGTGGAGTTTTGGCAGGCTGCAAAAAGCAAATTGTTTTGCTGACATAGGGTTGGACAGATCCCCTACAAATCCAGTTGTGTCGAAGGGGCTGATAGGGTTCGGTTTCGGTTTTTTCTGCGTGGGGGGGGGGGCCTGCATCAATCGTGTGACCTGTTTCTGAATGGGGATCAAGTTGCGTCAATGCTGAAGGCTCAATGGTGGAGCTTGCTTTGTCCTCAGGTTTTTTTTTCTTTGCCGGGGGTGGCTGGCCTGAAGCTCTGACGCATTTTGCAGTATGCCATCTTTTGCGAAGGTTTTGTCTCGTCACAGGCTCGAAAACACCTATTGCCCTACCAGCAATTCCCTACCTGCTAAGGAGGAACCAAACGACCCCTTTTTTGTTCCCCAAAAGCCATCCTCAGGAGGTACCAAAGGAGCCTTTGGGTGAATTCCCTTCACCCGGCTCACAGCTTGAGCAATGTCATGCCATGATCAGCGTATGTTCAATGCCTCTGCGCTCGGCAGCCACCCATATCAGTTTGAGCTTAGTGTCACGGATTGCTCGCTTTTCTACGGCACCTCAGGGATATAAGATGGGTATGGGTCAAAATTAAAACCACCAGGAATTGGATCGCAGGTTTTAGTCCATGTTTCCACTTACCAGGGTTCCATTTTGGGTGCCTATTTTTGACCCACAGGGAGATGTTTTAAGGGTTCCTTTTTTGCAAGTTGAAACACATCGCGGTTGCCATCAGATCTAGAAACCAAGACTGGAAATCCAAGAAGTCCGCTTTTGGAAACATGCCGTCACGTCTATCGCCATCGTATCAAGTTTGCCTTCTGATACGAAGGTTCATCCCATTCGGTCGCAGCCATGCGATCAAAGAACCCACAGGCGGATTATATATATATATATAATGTACATTGGTTTCTTTTGATTCAGTTCCAAGTTGGTGTCGGCTTCTGGGACCAACTTGCGAGCCGACATTCTTCAAGTCTTCGCCTCATTGAATCATACAAAAAATGATGCACAACAAAAGATCACAAATGAAAGGTTACCCAAAGCGCTAATTGGAGGGTACCTAAGGAGGTACTGCTAAGGACCCCCTTTTAACCTCCTTGGCTCAGTCAGCTCCCCTCTCTCTGGGATCCTGGTGTTAGATCTGGGGCTCTGCGTGGCGACTGCTTGTCCTCCCAGCTGAAGAGTTTCCGGCTGAATTCCCCATGGCGGTGCCACGAGGAGGGGTGGATTCCTCTTCCATTCTTTTCAACCATCCTTGTGTTCAACAACGTGATCCGTTGTCCCAGAATATTTTGGGTGGGTTTTCTAGAAAGAAAGATCCGGATCCCTGGAAAGAAGTTCAGACATGGAAAAGCTACAATCCCTGGGTTCAGAATGGACATGGAAAAGCTACCCTTAGAGGAGTCCTACACTCGACTCCTTTCACCACTCCCTCAATGCCACCCTCACTGCCAGGCTCCCTGCGCCTTCTGGCCCAGAGCTACGACGGCCTCGCGGCGCTGCGCGCGCGCGAGTCTGGGGCGCCTCAGAGAGACGGTTTTTGTTTTCCCCTGTTTTTTGTTTTTTGCTTTTCCCCCGGTGAGCAGGGCTCCTTAAAAGGTCTCCATTTTGAGTTTTGCAACATTTTTTTTTGTTTTCCCCCCGGTTAGGTTGGTCATTCCTTGGTTCCCAGCCATCCGGAAAACGGAGGTCCTCCAGCAGGGCTCCTTAAAAGATCGATCTCCATTTTGCTTGCAACCATGTGAAGCATGGGGTTACCCAGAGGGTCCAACTTGGTACCTTCTAAGGTACTGAACGACCCCATCTTACCTCCCAACAGCCATCCTCAGGCGGTACCAAGGGACCCTCTGGGTTAGGTTGGTTGCCGGTGCAATAGATGCAGGGGAATGAGACATGGATTGACCCTCATAAACCATCCAGGACCCTTGGGTGAATTTCCCACATCCCCTACTTTGAGCACCAGCAAGTTTGTTTCGGCACGCGTTTAGATTGGGTCTATGCCATTTGTGAGGGACTCCTCTTTTTCCAAAAGGCTGCCTATGCCTGGAATGGAAGGGGTTGGTTGACTCTCCCCTGATTGGACGGATTTTTTGGAGTTTGAGCGAACAGAGGCGAGCTACGGAGCTGGGCAAGTTATTTTGTGTAAGGCACTGTCATGAGGGATTTTGTGGGGCACTGTCAGGAAACACTTAGTTGGTAGTTTAGATGGTGGTTTGGGAATTGAACCCCTGGCTGTTGACGAGGGCAAATCAAAACCCCTCCTTCACCAAACCACCTATCCAGACCAGGGAAGCTGATACTGGATAATTTTTTCGGAGGTGGGCTAGCCGCAAACTGGAGGTTTCCTGCTTATGCTTATTTTATTTACCAAGTCACGTCCTCCCAGTAGATTCGAAGAGACAGGATATGCAATGCTCAGACAGCTCTTCCAGAGTTCATGGAAGTGCTGGAATGTTGCACGTTGCAGTTACGACTTGGTTC